ATGCTGCTTGGCCTGCTGTGTTCATCCAGCCCTGCACCTTGTTGTCTCGGATTCTCCAGCATCTGCAGTTCCTACTATCTATGAAAATTTGCTAGTTGCTTCGTGCTTTCAAATCCTATAATCCATAAACTTCAGAAGTCTTTGGGTACTAAACTTTAACAAAATAATGCAGATTGTAAATGGTGTCACTTCCTAAGCTGAAGAAGAATTCTGGCTATTGCTAACTTTCTCATTACAGCTGTGAGAGCGAAAGCATTCATGGTATGGAAAAGATGCACTTCACTGCCAGGATTTGATTACAGGTTTTCAAAGGAGCCAGAACTTAAGTAATGTAAAAGGCAAAAAGGTCCATGAAGACAAGATCCAAAATTATTTAATATTACATAAACAGACCTGAATTGCTTACATAGAATAATATCAATATGGAAATTTAGTCCATCTGCAATTGGTTGTACAGTTTACTTTTCTTTTCCCTTTCTATCCCTTTGCCACATCATTAAGACATAATGAATGAAAATGAAATGCATCTTGTTAAATAGTGCTACAGTTGTGAGATTTGTAAGATTATTTTTAGACTGTATCTTTAAAAAGGGCTTGAATGAATAAAGTGATCATTTTTAACATAACCCAACTTGTGAACTAGACATAAAAACACCATGGGTAGAGAACAGAGACAGCAACAGACATAAAATGCTTCCCAAGTCCCTTTGGAAAATACTGCTTCAATAAGAAGCCAGCATTTTAGGCACCTGTGGTTAGAAGTCAACAATGGAATTGCCATAGCAACTCAGCAGTGATGGGCAGCAAAAAGGCTCAAAAGCAATGTGAATAGATTTATTACAGGACACGACTTTGGTGTGATGAGTTCCCAGCTAATAGAAACTGCAATTAATCCACAGCTTGTGCCCAAAGGGTGTCTTGTAACACTTTTTACAGCAGAATTTACTTGAGATTTGAAAGTACATGCCAATGTGAATTACTACTTATAATGTAAATTATATTACATTCATTTGCCTAATACACATGCTAAGGAAATTTGGTCATTTAATCCATTTATCACAAGACAGATATTAGTGGGGCCATATTCTAGATTGTTTACTTTTCACAAGAAGTGATTTAATGGCTCCTGATCATACATGGCACAAAAGGCCAAATACAGACAACATACCAGAGAACACAGCATATTAAAACAAAACCACATTGCTCCAGAATGAGGGTGTTGGGACCAATGTTAGTGCCACTATATCACCATCCATCCTATAAAAAGCTGACCACGTCCTTAATATTTAATAAATGGATGCATACAGATATTTATTCTTTTAGCATGAATGGCATGCACCTATGCTCTCAGAACAGAAAAACTTTTAAAATTATCTCAAGTTACAGAATATTCATCCAGTAATCGTACTAACACTGAACAGCAAATTAAATTTAGAAAATATATGGATAAACTTAAAATGAACTAGGAATTCCAACATTAAGATGCTGTAAAAGCGAGTTGTCCAAAATATAACAGTAGGTACTCATTACAAACATTATCTGAATCATATAATATCTTGTAAAGGATTGTCACAGCAAGCAAAGGGCATTCAATACATGTGCACGTATACTTTTCAGATGTCAAATTTTTCAAACTATCAAGCTTGAATTCTGTTGTGCAGTTAACTATTGTTTATATCCAAAAACACTAGAATCAAGGCAAGTTTAAGTGCTTAAAAAGTAAACAATTTATTTTCTTCCTCCTAAATTATATGTAACTGGGAGGTGTACATGCGCTAAATCAGGTTGTAAATCACTTCATTGTTAGTAAGGTTGCTGGAACAGGACAGACAGTCATATAGAGGCCCAAGGAAAGGGTTATAAAATGGTTCTGACTACCTACCTCTCTGAAAAGAGGCAAATACATCACACTATAACTCAACACTGTAATAATTTAAACAGATATTATTTCCTGGTTCACATCCTTAACCCTGAAAGTAGAAATTCCAGCAGAACTACAGAACAGTCAGCCAAGAATATAACAAGCAGGGTCACTAGCCAAAAAAAAAATTCAAAACATTAATAACAAATTTGCATGACAAAAGTATAATATATTACAATAAATCACATGCAAAATATTTTCAACTTCAATTCAAATTAGTTCCAATTATTTGCATATGACTGAGGTACACATCACTGTCAACATATAAAACTGAGTTTCAACATCACCTTACCATTGAGAAGACAGCAGAAATTCATTCAATAATTTGCAAATACAAATACAAATGGGAGTCGAAAACAAAAGCATGAGACACTTACCGAGCTGCTGCAGTATATTTGCTTTCACTTGTGCAGAAAGATTCTCCGTTTGCAAAAGTTGTTCATAGGCTTCCTTTGCAGCACGATACTTTCTCTACAGTTCAGGGGTGGGGGAGAAAAGAGAAACTGTCTAAAGCAAGTTTTAATTAAAACAACCCTAAAAAGGTCTTGGCACCTAAAGCCTTTACAGCCTTTTTTCTTGGAACAGGAACCACACAAACACGAATGAAAGATGCTTTCTCAATGCTGTCACAAAGAGACCAAGGAAATGACAATTGCAGAGACTAGAAAACCAGGTCCAACAGAAAACATGGAATAAGGGGGAGGGACTCTTATGGGCAAAACAGGATTTCACAACATATTTAGAAGCTGCTGTATCCTGTATGTAGCCGAAGATAGGAGTCATTAGTTAACAAATAAATAAAACAAAAATAGATTCATACAACTCCTGTCCAAATAAAAAGGGATCACAATAGTCAGGTTTTTCTTCCAATCAGTTAATTGATCACTAAACAGAAACATTTCAGAGACACGCAAGTCCATTATTGTTGTCCAAAATGATGTATAATGGAGTGATAGAATGGAGTAATGCCAGACAAAGGCAACATCTTCTAATGGAGGAAAAAGGAGATAAAAATGATAGCTCAATAGCACTGACTACATCTCCAATTTTAAGATGAAGGCATAAATCACCAATTAAACACATCCTTGAAGATAAACAGGTGTCTGCAATAGACTAATAACTCTGTCCTTTGTTTCCAAGCATTTAATTCATTCTAAATGAATCTCATGCAACTAGCATTCATTAATGATCAAATCACCAATCACCAACGGATAACATATTTCACCTCCACCTTTTGAAGGGAACTTTCCCAGCTTTTACGATCTATGGGGCAAAAGTTTGGTGAAAGCTTCAGGCCGATATTTTAGCATGGGAATCTTGTTAGTTACCACACTGCAGTGACAGAAAGCCAATTAAAGCATTTATGGAGGGAAGTGAGAGAGATTTTGTGCTTACAATGGCTATTTACCAATGACAGATAAATCTCGCATGTCATCTCGAACTCTGCAGCATAAAAGAACCAAAGCAATTGAGCCCTACAACTCATATGCTTTCCCTATTTTAAAATGGGGAATGCAGCAAGCCTGAAGTCAACGATAAACAGAAGCCCACAATGTGAACTGCCCAAGGAAGACAATGATACAATGCTAGAATCAATCCTAGGGCAGGGGGGCAACAGGAATCAACCAGAAGACTTGGTCCATAGTTCCTTGAAAATAGAGTCCCAGATAGGGTGGTAAAGAAGTGATTTGGTACGCTTGCCTTTACTGGTCAGTGCATTAAGCATAGGAGTTGGGAGGTCATGTTGTGGCTGTGCAGGACATTGGTCTCCCTGCTATAGGAAGGATGTTGTGAAATTTGAAAGGGTTCGGAAAAGATTTACAAGGATGTTGTCAGGGTTGGAGGGTTAGAGCCAGAGAGAGAGGCTAAAGAGACTTGAGCTATTTTTCCCTGGAGTGCTGAAGGCTGAAAGGTGACCTTAAAAAGGTTTATAAAATCATGACGGGCACGGTTAGGGTGAATAACCATGGGTCTTTTCCCCAACGTGGGTGAGTCCAAAACTAGAGGGCACAGCTTTAAGGGGAGAGGGGAAAAATTTAAAAGGGACATAAGGGGCAACATTTTAGAACATAGAATAGTACAGCACAGTACAGGCCCTTCGGTCCATGAAGTTGTGCCGACCTACTATCCTAAGATCAAACTATCCTGCATATCCTACATTTTAGTATCCTCCATGTGCCTATCCAAGAGTCGCTTAAAAGTCTCTAAAGTATCTGACGCCGCTACCACTGCCGGCAGCACATTCCACACGCCCACCACTCTCTGTGTAAAGAACCTACCTCTGATATCTCCCCTATACCTTCCTCTAATCACCTTAAAATTATGTCCCCTCATAATAGTCATTTCCGCCCTGGGAAAAAGTCTCTGGCTATCCACTCTATCTATAACTCTCATCATCCTGTACACCTTTATCAAGTCACCTCTCATACTTCTTTGCACTGATGAAAAAAGCCCTAGCTCCCTCAACCTTTCCTCATAAGACCTGCCCTCCAGTCCAGGCAGCATCCTGGTAAATCTCCTCTGCATCCTCTCTAAAGCTTCCACATCTTTCCTATAATGAAGTGACCAGAACTGAACACAATATTCCAAGTGTGGTCTAACCAGAGTTTTATAGAGCATTACCTCGCAGCCCTTAAACTCAATTCCCCTGCCAACGAAAGCCAACACACATATGCCTTCTTTATAACTGTATCAACTTGGGTAGCAACTATGTGAGATCTATGGATGTGGACCCCAAGATCCCTCTGTTCCTCCACACTGCCAAGAATCCTGCCATTAACCCTGTATTCTGCATTCAAATTTGACCTTCCAAAATAAATCACTTCACACTTTTCTGGGTTGAATTCCATCTGCCAATTCTTTGCCCAGCTCTGCATCCTGTTGCAACCTACAACAGCTCTCCGCACTGTCCACAACTCCACCAACCTTCATGTCATCAGTAAACTTACTAACCCACCCTTCCACTTCCTTATCCGTGTCATTTATAAAGGTCACAAAGCGCAGAGGTCCCAGAAAAGATCCCCGTGGAACACCACTGGTCACCGAGCTCCAGGCTGAATACTTTCCATCTACTACCACCCTCTGTCTCCTATTGGACAGCCAAATTTCCCTGAATCCCATGCCTCCTTACTTTCTCAATGAGCCTACCATGGAACCTTATCAAATGCCTTGCTAAAATCCATAAACACCACAATGCCTTCAATGTGTTTTGTCACATCCTCAAAGAATTCAATAAAGCTTGTGAAGCATGACCTGCCTCTCACAAAGCCATGCTGACTATTTCTAATCAAACTGTGCTTTTCCAAATAATCATAAACACTATCTCTCAGGATCCTCTCCAATAATTTGTGCACCACAGAAGTAAGACTGACCAATCTGTAATTCCCAGGATTATCTCTATTCCCTTTCTTGAACATAGGAATGACATTTGCCACCCTCCAATCATCTGGTAATTTTCACGCAGAGTGTAGTGTGGGTATAGAATAAGCTGCCAGAGGAAGTGGTGGAGGCTGGTGTAATTACAACATTTAAAAGGCATCTCAATCGGTGTAAGATTAGGGAGAATTTAGATGGATATGGGCCAAACGCTGGCAAATGGGACTAGATTAATTTAGGACATCTGGTCTTCATGGGTGAGTTGGACCGAAGGGTCTGGTTCCATGCCGTACAGCTCTATGAGTAAGTACTCTCACAGATATTGGGCAAAACCTGATGCTTTCCCTCAAGGTCAGATAGCCTGTTGCCATTCATGTTCTAGGTTCACACACTGACTGACTATGCGACCAAACTATTACAGAACAACTGGCACGTGTAGAAATGCACAACAGCAAGAAGGCAATTTTTAAGAGGAAGAGGTGAAAAATCACAAAAAGCAAAATAGAAAGATAGTCTTCTAGAACCAACAAGCATGCACCAATGTTTTGAATATTATTTTGCCTACAGTCAATTCCAATTTGTAATTAATTACTCAATTAACCTTGCACTTTTAAACAGTGAATGGTATTTTCCATTATTACGATATAAAATGGGGGAATATATGTTTCAATATTATTTATTGCAAGTTTGGGTTTCTTGTTTTTGAGTCAGTAACTGGTGGGTTTGTGTGTCTGTGTGTCTTAAATACTTAACTTCTAAGAATTTATGTAGCTATGGCAATTTCTTTTAAAAATGGCTTTTGAGACTTGGCATTAGAGTGAATGAATGCATGCACCATTAATGAACTTTTGCTCCTTTTAGAATGTTTTGTGATTCATCAAGGTAAGTAACAGGGCCTCAACAGCCTGATGGAACTTTTTTTCAAAAATGCATGAGGGAATATCCATAATTTAAAGAGAGTGAGATTATTTTGGTGATACTTTAAATTTTGGGCAGTCCTGTGAAATCCTTGGTGTAGAACAGCTGTATAGAGCAGTGCTCCTAAGGATGGAAAGATGAATCATGAACTAGATTACCTTTCAGTAAAGTGAGTATTAATCCCGGAACATAAAAGTGTTGGGATAAACCCCGAAGTAGTTGCTTAAAGCGGAGTGCATTTAAAAAGCTGTATAATTAGTCCAGAAAGAAGCTACCTGCAGTTCCAATCTGAAGATTGAATTCACAAATTACTCAAACTGACTGAGGTATCTGATACAGGACTCTAGTACGAGTTGCTTCCATTCAATTTACACAGGACTATTTTTGACAGAATTTTTTTTTTACTATGTGATTAGAATTGTTTGAATTTGTATTATAACTTGATGGATTGATCTATTTTATAGTCAGTTATTTTGTTAATAACTTTCTTTTACATTTCTAAAGTAAAATCTGCAGCACTGCCAAAGACTACTTTGTTCACACTAAAACAAATCAAAATATGATCTATCAAACCAGATTCCTGAATGAGATCCAACTTGTCTGGTAATAATATCAGTTGGGATCATAACATTATATACATATGCAGATACACTGCTTTGTCCAATACATGAAACTATAAAGTCTATTTATGTGAAACATGTTCACTGAAAATTATTTTTCATATTCTTATTCCTTCCCATTCTGTTCAAAAATGTAAACATTAACAGTTTTGAAAAACTAAGCAGACTTCTTTAAGTGATTACACTGTCTTGTTGGCATGAACATGGAGTATACCAAATTTTTTTTCAAGATTGTTTTGACTGTTTATTAAGTGTGATCTTCTAAAACATGGTAAAGGCAGTCATAAAAAGTAAGCTTTTATCTTGATGGATAACCTGAGTAAAAAGAGGAGAAAATATTAACTAAAATTGAGGCAACTGCAATGATGAACTAAATATTCAAAAACAGCCGATTTAGTTTTAAACAACCATAAGTTTTCAGGAGAAATAAAGTAAAGTCTGTTGAAGTAATTGGATTATCAAAGGAAGAGTACCGGTTAGCACTCATTTCCAGACTTTATTGCCTGATGTAGCACCATTATGCACTTAGAGCTAGACAGTGTAATGAGGAAAATATGCAAATGCAATGAAGTTGCATTGTCTGTTGAATGATGGCCCCTCTAAATTTCCCCACGGGTGCCAGTAAATGTTATTTACTGATAAAATGGAGTTTCAACCAATGCTGAACACAGAAAAGTGAATTTGGTTACAAATTACAATTAGACATCCATTTAAAAGCTTGAGAGAAGAATCTGTATTGTAAGAACATTACTTTGTGGCAAATACTGATTTTTACTAATAACTTTAGCATTTACACCGTCATTTTAATGCTACTGTATTTTTAAAAAGGGTGAGCTTTTTGTGACATATTTGTGCAAATCTAAGTTTTGCCAGCTGACCAGTTATTTCAGTTATTTAAATTTCCAGACATAGCAGAATGTTACTGATTGCTAATTTATTTAAATAATTGAGGCAAATACATTCCAGTCCATTACTAATGTCTTGAAACAGAATTCATTTTGTTTAGTTACTGAAAATGGCATCTGCTTTGCAAAAGTCTTAGAAAACTTCACCAGAAAGTGCAAAATACTAGCCATATTATTTAATTTGCAAATAAACCTTTCCTTGAGCAATGACTTAAATTTTATAGATGAATTTGCTTAAATAATTCCAAAAAATTCTCAGGGACTAAATTACATTCACTTTAATTTTCTTGAACAATATCTTAAACTGTTTAGCCACAAAATAGCTCAAGAAAATTCTACTATACTGCATCAACAAGGTGCAATCTCTAGTTTAAGAAAATGAAGTATTACAAATTGCATCATAAATACAAATTACAATTAGATCTGCTTCAATTCTGATTTTCCATAATCTAATGAAATCTATGAAATGTGGGCAAACTACTTCATACAGTTTTAGAGACAAAGCACTGCTCAATTTGAGAGGCAGGGTAAAGTGTCAAACCAAGGTTGATTTCTGTAAATTTATGAAAAAGTCCTTGAAGAGATGAGAAATGGAAATGATATCCACACAACTCCAAAATCAGAGAGCTGAGTGAACCTGAAAGATTGACAAGTGTTAAAATATCTGTCTCCACAATCTGTATCTCTATCTTTCCATTTTGTTTTTCCTTTTACCTATTAGCCAGTCTCACCACCATCCCATTCCTCCCCTCCCCCATAGCTACTACCACTTAAATCTAACTGAATTGACCAAAGAGATGCATTTTTAAATCACTTACCTGGATTTCATACAAGTGAGCAACATGGAACTGAACTGCAAGGGAGAAAAAAAAGTAGTAAGCATTGTAAACTGTTTCTTTTTTTCAATTACACGCGAAATGAACAATTATATTTTGCTTTTTAGAAATTTTATTATACTGTTAATTAGCATGACATTCAGTTGACAGTACATAACCAATACCAAAACAAGGATTTTCTGAAAATGCATCAGCCACAAAAGTTCTTCAATTAATAGAATTTCTACAGATGACAGCATAACTCATTCAAGCTGTAAAAACTATAAAAGCACTTCTTGTGAATAGTTAAATTTCCAAATATACCAGTGGATTTCTGGTAGAGAACAATAAGAGGAGTGTCAGAGAAAATACCACTGGGCAAACACTATATATTAGTGGAATTCAAATGAAATAACCCAGTATTACTGAGAAAAAGACATTTTGTCAGAAGATTTTCATCTCACACCCACTGGGACAATTCACAATACCACCAATTCAAGACAAAAATCAACATTTATGCTGCATGAGAGGAAAGTACTAATTCATTGCCAAGTGATTAGCAATGATTGATGGAGACATTGCTGATCAGTGCCCAGTTATCATCCACTCCCCTCTTGTGCAGTATAAATTTTGTTTTCCCCTTGAATTGGCATTCTTTGACTGAAGAGTATTTCTGAAAAAAACACAAAGTTATTTATTTCAAAATTGCCATTTTCTAATAATGTTGTTTCAAAATGTTAAACTGCTGGTAAAGACCGCATTTGTATTTTATTTTTGGTTGCAAATTGGATGGAAAAAAGACTGTTTTAAAACCAAGAACTTTGGAAGCAACTGCCACAATTTTAAAGAAGTTAATTTTAAGTCACGTTTACACTGTTGCTTTGTTTAAGCAGTGGGGCAAGTGAGAGGTGAGGGGGCAGTGGTGTTTGCACTATCAACGCTATAGGTCAGAAGTTCGTAGTTACCGTTACAATCCATTTATTTGTAATAAAGTGACTCTTGTTAAGTAAAGAAACCTGCTCCATATGTTTTCTGTTAACTTGAGTTTACCAGATAGGTAAACTGGGGATTTACAAATTTGATTAAAATCTTTAGCTTTTGTGACAATTCCAGAAATAGAAGGGCTTGATTTCCAGTGTGCTTCCTCAGCAAGGTGTAACAATAGGTAATAATTTTGATCCAAACTATTTAAATTTTTGAAGCAATTTGTGCTTCGGATTCTTTTGTTTCTGCATTAGTTCAATGCCAGATTTATTTACTGAATTTTAATCATGTGTTTGTGTTAAGAAAATTCACAATCCACAGAAAACGTTAAGGAAGATACTGCAAGCGTCTAGAGAGTGGAGGAAGGTTAGACATTCCTACATTAGAAGAGTTTTGTGGGAGCTACGGGAGAAAACAAACGTAGACGTTAACAAAGTGCTGAGTGTCATTTGGAAAACAAAAATTCAGCTTTGTGGGAACTGGCTGCAAGTCTGAAGTCAATACTGTATTTCTACTTCCACAGTAAAAGCAAATACTTTCATGATTGCAAAACTGGTTTCAAAGACCATCTTACAATGATTTCTCAATCAGATCTGCAAAAGGGTAATAGTAAGGAAGGAGAAGAACAGCAAATAATTTTATATGCCCACTAAGTTAACAAACTACATAAAAATGCCACTAACAACTCGGTGATCATGATTCAGCAAAATCAGAGGAGCGGGTGAAGTTAGCAAGAAGATATACAAATAATATTCAGGGTGAAGTGGAAGCAAGGTCAATGACTGTGGCAGCAGAGGACAATCAAAAGTCATAACATTTCCTATTTCAAAAAGTCTTTGATATTCCCACATAGGTTATAGAGCAAAATGAAACCACATGGGACTGGGGGCAATATACTGGCATAGATTATTGCCTCCCTCCTAACCAAATATCAGAGCTTAAGAAAAAATGGGTCTTCTTGGGAGTGCAAGGCTGTGACTAATGGTTTACTGCAGGAATCAGCATTTGGGCTCCAGCTATTCACAATACACAATGATCTGATTTAGGAATTTAATGCAATAGTTTAGTTTTAAATTTGCTGACAAAACAAAGTGGAAAAAAAGAGTGGCGAAGAGGAAGTAAAAAGGGTTCAAGGCGATTTAGACAAGTTGAGAGCATGGACATAATAAAGCATTTGTCATGCATGAGTGTGAAGTTATCCACTTCAAGAGAAACAAAAGCAGTGTGCTAGATAAATAATGATAGATTGTGAAATATTGATGTACAAAGCTCCTTTGTGCCCTAGCACACTTGTCACTGAAATCATGCAGGTGCAGCAAGGAATTAGAAAGAATAAAAGTTATGTTGGTCTTCATTGCAGTAAGGGGATTGAGTACAGGAGCAAGATTGTCTTACTGCAGCTGTACACGGCCTTGGAGAGACCACAGGTGGAGAAGTATGTGCTGTTTTGGTCTCCTTACCAAAGGAAAGATACGCTTTAGACAGAATGCGGCAAAAGTTCAAACTGATAGCTAGAACAGCAACCTTGTCATGAGGACAGACAAGGTCAAATGGACCCGAAATCTCAGGAAAATGAGGGAGGATCTCCTTGAATTGTATAAAATACTGTTAGGGCTGTTAGACTAGATGCAGCATGCAAAATGTCGCCCATGGCTGGAGGATCCTGAACAAGAGCTTATGATCTCAGAAAATGGAGTTGGCCATTCTGGACTGAGAACAGGAGAAATTTCTTCAGAAGCTGGTGAACACGATGTGGTGGAATCCTCTACCACAGAAGGAAGGTCAAATTTGCTCAAGAAAGAAACTGATAGATTGAGAAATTAAAAAGGTGTTAGGTACCAACGATATAGGCAGAATGTGGGAAGAGGTTCTGCTAAGAGAATATGAGCAGTTAGGGGCTAAACTGAAAAGCAGAAACTAAAAGGTAATAATCTCTGGATTACTACCTGGTCTACAAACAAATTGGCTCAGGGTCAACAAGATTGAAAAGGTAAATGCAAGGCTCAAAGTTTAGTGTGGGAGAAATGTGTTCAAATTCATGGGATATCGACACCAGTACTAGGGAAGGAGGGCACTATTCTGATAGGACAGGTGCCAACTGAATAATGCTGGGACCAGAGTCCTGGCAAATCGCATAACTAGAGCTTTAAACTGAACAGCCATGGAGTAAGTTCAGTAGGAAGATTATGGAAAAAGGACAGAGCTCAGAGGTATTAAAAGTTTCTGGAACAAGAAATAGAACAATGTACAGAAAGTGTCACAAATCTAACTTCAGGCACAGCAGATGAGCAGATAACTATGAGAGGAGGAAGCAACCAACACAGAATGGAGGGTGCTGTACTTAAATATACGCTATATACCAAAACAAGATAAATGCGCTTGCAATGCAAATTGAAATCGTACAATGTTGTGAGTATCACAGAGACATGGCTGCAAGGAGAACAGGACTGGGAACTAAATATCCAGGGATCCTATCGAAAAGGCAAGCAGGTGGGCAGAGGGGCTTGGGGTTGTCTTATTAGAAATGAAAACAATAAGTAATATAGAATCGCAAATGTAAAAAAGAACTTGATGGGAGTTGCGTTCAGGTCTCGCAGCAGTAGTCAGGATTGGGGAAGAAAATAAATCAGGAGATAGAAAAGGCATGTAAGAAAGTCCCTATTACAATAATCATGGGGGGCCTCAATACACAAATGGACTAGGAAAATCAGGCTGGCAGCAGATCTCAAGAAAAGGAATTTGTGTAATATCAGATGGTTTTTGTGGAGCAGCTTGTGGTAGAGCCCACTAGGGAACAGGCAATTCTGGTTTTGGTAATGTGTAACATGGCAGATTCAAGGGAGCTTAGGGTGAAGTAACCCCCAAGGGACAGAAACCATAAAAACGAGAGACAGAAGCTAGAATCAGATGAAACTGAGTTACAATTAAATACAGGTAACTACAAAGGCATAAAAGGGAGGAGCTGGCCAGAGTTGACTGGAAGGGGAGCCGAGCAGGGAAGACGATGAAGCAGCAATGGCAGGAGTTTCTAGGGAGTAATTTGGGAGGCACTGCAGAAATTCATCCCAAGGAAGAAGAAATACACTCGGGGAGGACAAAGCAACTATGGCTGACAGGGAAGTCAGGGATAGCATAAGAGCAAAAGAAAAACCGTACCATGTGATGAAGTTTAATGGGAAACCAGAGGATTGGAAAGCCTTTAAAAAACTGCAAAGAATGATTAAAAGAGCAGTGAGGTAGAAAACAATGGAATATATGGGTAAGATAGCTGGTAATATAAAAGAGACCCAAGGCTGGACATTGGACCACTAGAAAATGAGGCTGGAGAAATAGAAATGGGGAAGAAATAGCAGAGGAACTGCACAGGTGCTTTGCAATAGTTTTACAGTGGAAGACCTCAGAGGGATATCAAAGTCAAGAGAGTAAGAGGGCAGAGTGAGTGAGATTCCATTCACGAAGGTGGTGGTGTTGGAGAAACTGAAAGGTCTGAAGGATAAATAAACCACCCATACTACACCCAAGAGTTCTGAAGGAGGTAGCTAAGGAGACTAGAGACATACTGCTGATCATTCAGGAATCACTGGGATCAGGGAGGGTCCCAGAGGACTAGAAAATGGCTAATGTAACACCACTGTTTAAGAAGTGAGGGAGGAAAAGACAGGAGACTGTACACTGGTTAGCCTGACCTCAGGTCGTTGGTAGAGACAATTGTTAAGGATGAGATTGTGAAGTACATGGAAGTGCATGGTAAAATAGGGCTGAGTCAGCATGGCTTTATCAAGGGGAGGTCATGCCTGATTAATCTGTTAGAACTCAACGAGGAGGTAAAAAGCAATTTAGACAACGTGATTTGCACGTGATTTATCTGGATTTCCCGAAGGCCTTTGTGTGCTGCACAGGAGGCTGCTAAATGAGAGACCATGGTGTTAGGGACAAGGTACTGGCATGGATAAAGGATTGGCTGACTGGAAGAAGGCAGAGAGTAGGGAGAAAGGGATCTTTTTCAGAATGACAGCCAGTAACTAGTCGAAATTAGTAGGTGTCCATGTTGGGA